TAGACCGCGTGGAGATAAAAGGTTTTTTTTACAAGATTATTTTAAATTGAGGTAAAAATCAGTGCCGGTTTAAGTTAGTTCGCCGCCCGGTTCTGGCACAAACACAACGCCCAATGCTTTAAAATATTACTTTTTTAAAAACATTTTTAAGTCTTACTTTCTCACGTCAAGTGGAAGATTAGGTTGGTTAGGCTGGTATCTAACAGCCTATAAAATATAAAATGAGCCTTTATAAACAAATTATAAAAACTAATCAAAAACACTAACTAAAAATTAAAACATTCTTTGGTTTATATAAACAATACTAAGTACTAAGAAAAACTAATTAAAAAATAAAAGTTTAATATTTTGTTTCATTAAACTAATAAAAACTAATCAAAAGTTATAAATAAATAAAACATTATTCTTTGGTTTAAATAAATATTGAGAAATCCTAATACTAATAATTAAAAGGTTGTTTTCGAGTCTTTATAGTAGCAAATTGTTTTATAACACTTTACATTTATTTCATCTGGCAGGTCTTGATAAATGGACAAAATTGCTAAGGAGTTAAATCTTTCTTGGGGAATTGTATTTCTTAGGTAGTTCTTTACCCTTTTTAGAGTAGAGAAAGATCGTTCACCACTTGCATTTGAAACTATATTATAAAAAAAAAATTCGCAGACAAATATTAATATTCGGATATGAAGATATTAATTTATTTTCGTATAAAACTTATATAATTCCAATGAAGTTTCTATTTTTATTTCCGAAAGGGAAGTTACCAGTTTCTTGAGTAGGACACATTTTTGAGGAAAAAACTCATCCAAATCCTCCACGAAGATTTATGCTTTTAGATTAAACAAAAATTCAAATTTGTTTGTGCCAGATTTCTAGCTATCATATCGACAAATGATTTCGGATTATAGATTGTCAATTATTAAAATAAAACATATTGTTCGCATTGTTTCTTTTTTGCTTAAATTTGCCTATGAATTATTTTCTTCAAATTGTAATTTTCTTATGATTATCCGCTTCTGAGCATAATTTTCGTTTCCTGTTTATTTCCTCGTATTGATCAAAATGATCAAGTAAAAAATCAAAGTTCTCAACTAAAAATGACAAAAGATGAGCATTTGTGCTTAAATCCATATTTTGTTTTTGGACTGCATTATTGGTTTCATTAACCCTTTGCAAAACGTCTATACAAAAAGTTAAAGTTATTCCGTTTCCATGCAATAAATCAAGTTTTTCTGATGGAGAAGCTGCTTCAACTCTAAGAACATTTTTCTCATTTGTATCCGTTGTATCCGCCGACGCAGTATCGCAATATTTTTTTTCTAAATTCTAACGATTAAGTATTTTTTTTTAAATTAGGGCGGTACGCGGTACCGCCCCTAAAATATTTACCGCCCGGTGCTATAGTCCCCAAAAAACCCCTGTTAAACCGGCACTGGTAAAAATAAAATGGGTCATCAAATCTTGTGGAGAATCGCCCATTTAATTTTTTTTACCTCAATTTGGTATTCCACAACAATACAGCTACTAATAGTGAATGAACTAGAAAATCAAAAAAATTTAACTATACAGCCACAAATTTAATATTGTTTAGTTTTTAAATTTAAAAAAAATATAAAAGAGGTTTATTTATCCTAAATTTTCCAAACAAAAATATAATAACCCACATGAATGTTAAATTTTCATTAAAATATCTGAAAAGTTGTTTAAAGCATTTCAGATAATTTATTTTAATTTTCTTTAATTAACAAAAAAGTAGTCCTGCTGAAAATTCATTGCAGGTCTATAATTCGCAGGAATACATTTTCCTTTTGTCAAAAAACATATTTTGCTCATTTTAGCATAGCACAACAAAATTACAAAAAAAAGTAAAAAAAATCCTGCAATTAGATTTGCAGGAATTCGCAGGAATACATTTTCCTTTTGTCAAAAAAACATATTTTGCTCATTTTATGGCACAACAAAATTACAAAAAAAAAGTAAAAAAAAAATCCTGCAATTAGATTTGCAGCAGGAGAGTCTTATTTTGAAAGGAGTACTCTCCTACGCTTCCCGCCGGACCTTATTTGCAGGAGGGAGGCGTTGGAGTGGGAGGGATGTATGTGTGTGCATCCTGCGCGCGCCCCACGACTGCTGCTAGCCTGTCCTGAATTTTCGCCGGCCGTTTCTTGCGCTCCTGCCGACGCCGTCAGTCCTGCTGCAGTTGCAATCTGGTGCGTGACGAACAGAGCGCGTTCCTGCGTCGCGTGTGTTGCCGTTTGAAATTCGAACAGAACCATTCCTGTTGATTTTTGTGATTTGTGAGCAGGAGTTTCGAGAATTGTTGTTTTTCCTGTGATTTATCGTACGTTGTTGATTTTTTTTTCGTTGATGTGAGAGGTCAGGACTAAAGTTTTAAAAACTATGAGTAAAGACGTGGTTTTGTTTGTTGGGTGATCAAAAGTTTAATGATGATAGAAACTGTGTCTTCTAGGTACGTACCGCAAAAATTAGTTTTTACTGTAGAAAAAAATATATTTTTTAATAGCAAAATATTTAAAAATAATTAATAAATAAAATAAGAAACTTTTCTATTAAATAATAAAAAATTATATGAAAAAAGAAACATAAGGTAAAAATAAAGATTTTATTAAAATATTTTCTTTTATTTTATAACATAAATTAATATTTTTATTAATTTAATTAATTATGATGTTTTTATAGTTTAAAATATTTAAATATTTTCAAATTTACCTGATCAAATTACAAGATATTTTCTAAAGATTAAGATATAAGGATATCTTAAATTTTAAGACTTAAAAAACCTTATTTGTATATTGTAATAATGTAGAAGAAAAATCATAAATTATAACAATATCATATAAAAAAAGGATTTTTAAAAAATATAGCAAAATCAAAAAATATTATACTTAATGGTTAAAGATTTCCTATAATTTTTTTAAATTTAATATAAACAATCTTTTATTTTTTTTTAGTTGTTTGTGTTTTTAAACATTTAATTATTAAAATCATAAGAAAATGTAATAAATCAAACAAAATTATAAAAGAATAATACAAATCAAATAGTGATAAGATTTATTTAAAAGTACATAATAATAATACCCACTCTCTTAAAATACATTAGTCAAAAATGACTAGTTACTACAGTTATTAGTGGCTGCTTTTTCACTTATACCATGGTTAACCATGGTATACCATTGTATTCCCAACATTTAACAGCCAATTCTTATGTAAAATTGTCCTCTGAATCCGAAAATACCGTCAAAAATTTTGAAAGTAGAGCAGTTTTTGAAATATAGTCAATTCCATTGTATGGAAAATTCCATTTCATGGAAAATTGACTATATCTCAAAAACTGTTCTACTTTCTAACTTTTAACGACATTTTTGGATTTTGGGGATAATTTTTCATGGAAATTGACTGCTAAATGTTTGGGATACAAATTGCTCTCTAAAAATGAATTAATTAAAAATGACTAATTTAATATTTACTAGTGGCTGCTTTTTCACTTGTACCATGGTTAACCATGGAATACCATGACATCTCAAAATTGAACAGCCAATTATTATGTAAAATTGTCCCCTTAATCCGAAAATGCCGTCAAAAACTATGAAAGTGGAGCATTTTTTAAGATAAAGTCAATTCCATATTAAATGGAAAATTGACTATATATAGATATATCTCTAAAACTGTTCTACTTTTTTAACTTTTGACGGTATTTTCGGATTCGGGGACAATTTTACATAAAAATTCGCTGTTAAATATTGGGTTACCATGGTATTCCATGGTTAACCATGGTACAAGTGAAAAATCAGCCACTAAAAACTATTAAATTAGTCATTTTTGACTAATTTATTTTTAGAGAGTGCTTTTTTGCTATGACAATTAGTCATTTTTAATTAATTCATTTTTAGAGAACATTCTCAAATAAAAACACATTTAAAAGCTTTTTAAAAATATTAATACAAATAAAATATAACACACATATAACTTATGGCGTAATTAATTTAAAGCCTAATATGATAACGTTTATTCGAACCGAAATATTCACCCAGTCTCCCTTCGTAAAGAGACAGCATTAATAACAACGCACGGAAAAAGCAAGGCAGCAACCCCAATACAACGTTACCGTCCCCCATCTAATACGGCGGCGGCGGAACTTACTGTAAAAATCCATCCGGAGATAGGGAACGCCAAAGACAAAAAATTCCTATTTCCCCCCTTGATGATTAAATCCACATAGGCTTGAGATTTCCACCGAAATCGTACAGGAAAAAAGGGGTAAATAAATGGACCGTGGACTTAATTCGTTAACTCACGGTTTTATTGCGTTATAATTAAAAGACAGAATTTTAAAATAAATGTTATGTTTGAGCAAGCATTTTATGACTTTATAGGTGGTTTAAAGCAGTCACTTAAAGTCTCTTTTGGGCACGTAGAAAAGGGTCGAAAATGGGATGTTTTCCGGGTAAATCGACCACAAAATTGACACAAGTACGGTCGAAATAAAACCACCACAAACAGGCACTTTATCAATGTTTTTGTGGAAAAGGCTTTTTTAGATTTGTACGCTTTTTTTATAAATTATACATATGTACTAACAAGAATTAGCAGTAGACAAAAATTCACGTTAAAAATATTTTTAAAGTTGTCTTTTACAATATTTTACTGAATAGTTTTTTTTTGTTGGTAATTATTATTGAAATGATAACTTTGTTTCGTTTTGTTTGAAATCCCGTTGGATTTCTGCAAGATCGGTCTGGGCAAATTGCTTGTCCTCCTCGCTCCCCCTTAGCCCCAAGAAAACGTTGATACTCTAAAGTTTGGCTGGAGGATTAAGCTGGTTTATCCCTCCGAGTATCCTTAGTTTAGCTATCAGTATTTAACAGAAGCGCGCGGGATTTGGACTTGTTAATAGTCTAAGCCAAGAAGCTGCGGTCAATTTCACTATAATTGTAGATGTAAGTTTTTTAGGATTAGTATTATTATGGAGTTTGTTTCAGATCCAATCGACCGTTCGGATTACCTCAGTTGAAAAAGAGAAAGATTGAGAACGCGACTAATAGCATGGCCACAATAGCAAAGAATTTTCCAAAAAATATCGATATTGGCGATGAGAAACGTAGAAAAAGAGTCGAGGAGTCGAAATCTCTAATACTGCCGCAGAAAAAACGTGTCATACCATCCAATACGTCTGGTTGTCCACCGAAGAAAAACCAGAAATTATCCTCGGATGAAGGTACAGCTGATGAAACTCTCATAAGAGAAACTGAAGCTGCCTTGAAAAATTTATCCGGTAGCTGGTCTGCGAATAGATATAACCAAGAGGAGTCGCCAGCTTTTGAGAATCTATTCGACGAGAAAAAATCCAACGCCAAACTATCACCATCGTCAGCTTCGAACAGTAGCAGTGACAATGCTTGTTCACTAAAAGACGTTATAACCCTAAGAGACCAACACGAAGATTTACCAGAAGATAAACCCAAAGGTAAACTGATCAAAATAAGGCAAGAGGACGACAAAGATAGAAAGAAATCTCAGTATCAACCCCCTGATTTCAATGAACTCGTAGACGACTCTTCCAACGAGTTGGAGATAGATATGTCTGAATCCGCCGCTGAAAAAAACGAAAAAGACAAAAAACACCCCGAAGAACCCAAACCCAACAAATACCCAACCGAAAACCCACCATTTCACCCATCATACCCCCGCACCTCACCTTTCTCCACAACGTCGGCATTTCGCCCCCCTCAGTCCACCAAAACCTTGACCAACCTGGGCCCATATCCGGCGGAAGCCACATTCGTGGGCTACCCATCCACCGAACCGCCAACCAATACAGAAGACAAACCAAAAAACATCCTACAGCTAAAACCGCCCGAACCGCAAGTCGAAGCGAGCGCCGTCAAATCTCCAGAAGCTGCCAGTAAACAGTACACTATCCTGCAACCGGCTCCTGCGGGATCCAGAGCTGCGAACGCATTGCAGGAGGTGGCACGCGAAGGGGTCCCGATAGTCACGGCAGTTAATAGCACTCCAACGACAGAAGGTTCGAAGATGGTTCCGATAACAACCGTTGCGGGATCCCTGTCTCCAAACAGCATTGGTAGAGGTGAGTTTTTTGTTTTATAAGGTTGCCAGAATTAAATTCATGATTATATTCAATTCCATAACTATTTTGATTTTGATGAAACCGTACATTTATATAAAAGAAGACGTTCAAAATGTCGAAAGTTCAAGATAACAGAGATCGTTTGAGGTTTTCGTCAGGACAGGCCATTGCACGTTTTAACTTTCAAGAAGGCCCTTTAAGATGGTCGTGTTAAGGCGAGTCACGTCTTTTAGCTTATAATAACTTGTATCAAGCAGGCCTTTCCGTATTCATTCCGAAACAGGTGACAGTTACGTGTCGCCGCCCCTCAATTAGTATTATGAGTTTGTTGGCGGGGCTTAGGGAACTTAACGTCCCGTCTGATGCATCCGCCGAAGGATTAGACAAGTTTTGACAAGCACTAACCCTTCGGTTATCAAGATTTATGCACTCTTTTGACTTCGGTTGAATAAAATCATTTTTAACGTTATGATTCCGTTAGATAAACGTCGGAATACTTACAGGTGCAATAGCAGAATTATAAATCGTAAAGTTGGAGTTAATGGATCATAAAATACGTTGAGCATCGATTTCCCTCGCACAATTAAATTAATACAATGACGTTACAATGAATGGGAATAGGTTTTCGCGATTATGAAGCATTGTGGTTCGTGAATTTCGATGATTATAATTTATAAATAAACGCGGCTAGGGGTTGAGTACACCACCACAAATCCATATCAATTACCTTAGTGGAAGATTACAATCTGAGTTTTTTTTTTATTTTAACAAAAATTTGTTCATGGTTGTTGAAATATAGTAAGCTGAAAATATGTTCTTACATCGTATTTGATATTGGCAACTGAGATTTTAAGGAGGCTTAGCGTTTATCGAAAAGGAACCAAGTGCCAACAACTTTTTCTGAGGTAAACAAAATTATTTGCAAAATAACTCATTTTTAATGCTGTTAAAAAAATTAATGATTTGGGAACCCTCTCAATCCTTTTGGGAAAAGTTGATGATCAACCTTTTGAGCATTATTAAAAATGAGTTATTTTACAAATAATTTTACTTAACCCAGAAAAACTGTTTAGCGATCAGCTTTATTATTTATTATTATAAGCTAAAAAAGTAAAAATGAATTGCTAGAGAGGTTTAGCAGAAGCCTACTTCCTACTGGGCAATTAGGGAATTTACAAGCTATAACATGTTTATTTTTGATATATTTTGACCACGGTCTTGCAATTTTAACAGAAATATAGAACTAACACTCTTTCTATGCGATGAAATAAACTACCTACTCACAAATTTAAATATGTGGAACTATTACATAAACATATTCTATATTTTTCAAATCGTAACGTATACGTTTATTAGGTACCAATATAGCATTTGGAATTTTATGATCCCAAGGAATCACGCAACCCTCAATGTAGAAGCACGTGTGCGGCTTATCCTCACGCCTGCGTGCACTATGCAGGTAAAATGAACTTCCTTATGTTATCTGGCCACGGGTCTTCTAAAATATCCTAATTTTTTAAATCCTATCCTATTCCATCCCATTATACAGTTTTTAGGCAGAAAAATACTGAAATTAACCTATAATCTAGAACTATTTATTGAATTGTAATTTAAAATAGAAAAATACTAAAATATACCTATAATTTAAAATTCAATTTTAATAAGTTTTTAGGATTTTATAATATTATACCTATACCTATACATATATTAGGGAGATTCAAAAAAATTTGAGCTCTTAATATTAATAGGAAGATTCTCCTCATCACAGTTTTCCATTTTTCCTTATTCCCTTATAAAAAAAATCTTATTTCATTATTAAAAAATCGTTTAATTATCTTTATTTATATTTTTGTAGAAAATTTAATGCTCTACAAAAAAGGACTCGAGTGTTTAAGCGTTTACTCTAACCATATTAAAGATATACAAGATCAAAGTTTAAAGAATTTATTAAAAAAAATGTCTCATTGAAAAATAATTCGTACTGATACAAATATCTTCTCCACGGTTAGAGTAATCAATTTAACACATAAAACCTTTTTTGTAGAGCGTTAAATATGTCATACTTATTTGACAATAATTATTTTTTAATGAGTTACAAAATTATTTAAAAAAAAATTGTTTATAAATTCTTTAATTTTGATCTTGAATATCTTTTAAATGGTTAGAGTAATCGGTTAAACACATTCGTCCTTTTTTGTAGAGCATTTAATTGCCTACAAAAATATGTATAAAGATTTGATTAAACGATTGATTTATAATGAAATATGGTCTTTTTTTATATAAAGGAGGAGGATCCTTCTATTAATATTAAGATCTCAAATTTGGTGACCTTTCTAGAGGTGCCTAAGAACCATTTTTTTAAGATCTGAAATATTTTTTTTAATCACCCTATTATAAAATTATTTATAATACCAAGTAATGTCTCCCATAAAAAAATCGGTTCCCAAAACATGCAAAAAAGCCTTGGAAGGCTCGCAGAGGGATTGGTATCGAACGTATGCAAAAAGCTGCGACCTATGAACTTTCGTCGGGACATGTAGCACACATCGTATTCGTTGCAGCCTCTCCCAACGGGGGGGCGGCAAAAAGAGAGCGAAAAGAGTGCGGCCGCCCCCCGGCGGCGGCGGCGCAGGTGCCGGCCGCCGACACGCGCACTCTTGGCGAAAAAAAAAAGATTTTTCTCCCGAGTCTCCACCCGCGAATGGCGATAGGCTAATCGACGGCGGGGGCGGAGTTTTGGCGGCCCGCGCCGGACACTACACTTCTCCAACCTCCAACTCTCCCACCCCTCCTATAGTCGGTTTGACCTTTTTTTAGTTGGAGGAATTCTCTTCGTTGCTATGCTTAATAAATTCCAATCGGCCGTACGTAGGATTAATTTCTTTAATGTGTAGCCTGCTGCCAACTTTGTATTCAATATAAAAATAAAAACCCTGCCCCATTGTTCTCCCGTTTCTCCCAGTTTTTTGCTTCGCGCAATTTAAAAAGCTTTGTGGTTTTGTAATAAATATCATAAAAACAATTTGATTCTAATAATTAAGGAATATTTTAGACTATAACCAACAAAAATATGTTATCCACTCTCTAAAAATGAATTAGTCAAAAATGACTAATTTTATAGTTATTAGTGGCTGCTTTTTCACTTGTACCATGGTTAACCGTGGAATACCATGGTATCCCAAAATTTAACAGCCAATTCTTATATAAAATTGTCCTCTTAATCCGAAAATACCGTCAAAAATTATGAAAGTGGAGCAGTTTTTGAGATATAGACAATTCCATATTAAATGTAAAATTGACTATATCTCAAAAACTGTTCTACTTTTTTAACTTTTGATGACATTTTCGGATTCAGGGGACAATATTACATAAGAATTGGATGTTAAATTTTGGGACAGCATGGTATCCCATGGTTAACCATGTTACTAGTGAAAAAGCAGCCACTAATAACTATTACATTAGTCATTTTTGGCTAATTCATTTTTAGAGGGCAATTAAAATTTACATCAAAAATAAATTTAATGCTTTTTGGTTAATTCCAGCAATTACACATTAAAAAATTATTTATTAATTTTAACCAAATTTTAACCAGATTTTATGTTAATACAGGTCCACATAACTATAGTTAAGTTATGTTAAGTTTACAATCAACTGTAATCTGTTTACCAATTGAATAAGTAGTTTGTAATTATAACAAACATTTTGTATAGGTATTTAAAAACAAAATCCTATATCAATAAATCAACCATAATTCTTGTTATTTTTAAAAAGGACCTTATTTTTACAAACCTTTTTGTAGACCCAGTAACATATAAAAATAAACACACCTACATGTATACACACCATTCTGAAATCATCAATTTATAAAGAAATTTGGTACAATATAATTATCAGTACTACTACAACACTTATTGATGTATTTCGTAACTTTAACCCACTTTACTGTATCCCCTAATTTTAGTTTGAAAACCAGTGATAACATCTTTTTTCGGATACTTCGCACTTCGACCTGAAATCACGTGTACTTTTTTAACAAAATAATTTGTTAAACATTAACAAAATTAGAAAATTAGTGGCATTTTTTCCACTGATTAAAATGGCGAAAACAGAAAAACAATTGAACGTCGAGTTTCTAAATACTCACAAAATTAAAATTTTTTAAAATGATACATCCTGTAATTTTGACATATTTTTGTAAACTTTTTGATTTTATTACATTTTTATGATTCTTTGTTTCAACTCATTAAAGAACCTTTATGTATATGTATATTTTAAATAAACAATAAATGCACTTTATTGTAAGTAATTATTGTTTTTATAATTTACCATAATTTTGCCTAAAAAATTGTTTTTAGCTTTGTATGTCCCCCTAAAATATTTTTTAAATTTTTGTGGCATAAAATATTTTGCAATTTTTACGTTTTCTTTTTTCTATCTGAATTTAAAAAATAATTTGACAATATTTTCTAAAAAATTATTTTTGAAATATACTTTAGCAACACAGCAATTTCGTTCTCCAGACTACGACGTCTAAAACTTTTCCCCCCCGCTTTGGAGGGAGCACAGTGTCGTGCTATTGATTTTTCAAACTTTGCAATGTAGGCCATCTCAAAAAAAGTTTCCAAAAACTTTTCCCGACACGGGAGCTACAGACTTTCTCTCTCTCTCTTCTTCTCTATCTTTCGTACCCACCTCTACTGCCCAACGACTAAGTTTAAACATTATTTTTTTTATTTTCAGAAGGAGGAAAATGTCCCACACCAGGGTGCACCGGTCAAGGCCACGTCACGGGGCTATATTCTCATCACAGAAGGTAAATTAAGTATACTTTACAAAAAGTTTATTTCAAACAAAAAACTCAATTTTTATTATTTCATGATACTAAATATTTTTTTAAATTTGTCAGATCCATTATTTACATTATTAAAACTGTTTAATAAATCAAAAAATTAAGTAAGCCAGGAATCTTGTTTACCATTGAAAAGATCGGAAGAAGTAGGCAAGTTTAAATAACTACAAATTTACCACTAAGTCAACTTTAAAGTATTTTTTACGGTTAACCAAAACGGTTTTATACGCAAAATTATCAAATTTGGGAAATGGTTTGTTTCGTTATTTTACCTACATAATAACCTTTTGATCTACTAAGAGAATAACGTAATAAAAACAATATAAATACCTACCACAAATTTACGTAAAAATAACGATATAATTAGGTACTAACTGTTTGCTTTCTCTTTCTAAAACATTGACATTCGTAATTTTTTTGTTCTTTTAATTTATATTTTACAAAATGGTACTTACAAAGTAATAAAGTCCACTCTATAGAGTAAAATTAAAAAATATAACTTAAATTGTCAATAATATAATATTTTGCATTCAAACTCAAATGCACATTATTTTATTGATAAAACAGGCACGATACATCTCAAATTTTCCTTTAGGTGAAATACACTTATAAGTAATTTTCTTTCGTAAAAATTACGTCCCTCATAATACTTTAAAGTTTTGAAACTTAACTAACTGTTTGCTTTCTCTTTCTAAAACATTGACATTCGTAATTTTTTTGTTCTTTTAATTTATATTTTACAAAATGGTACTTACAAAGTAATAAAGTCCACTCTATAGAGTAAAATTAAAAAATATAACTTAAATTGTCAATAATATAATATTTTGCATTCAAACTCAAATGCACATTATTTTATTAATAAAAACAGGCACGATACATCTCAAATTTTCCTTTAGGTGAAAAACACTTATAAGTAATTTTCTTTCGTAAAAATTACGTCCCTCATAATACTTTAAAGTTTTGAAACTTAAGGGTTATTAAAATAGGTGAAAATAACATAAATAAAACTTATTAAATAACCTTAAAAAAAGTTTTACTTCAAAGAAAATTTTTAAGGTTAATTTAACGAAATGTTTACTTAAATTAAGTAATATTGTCTCAAAGCTCTACGCTTTTACTGAAAATGCTGCTTGGGGAAGGAAAACGCTTTAAAACATCATAGGCGTAATATAACTGGCATTTTAATTTGAAAGAAATACAAAAAATGAGGTTTTTGATTGGTAAAAGAGTTTCTGTAACTAATATTAGCTTATTCATTAACAACTCATATTTTTACACATTAGTCTTTCTGGATGTCCGCGTAAAGACAAAGTTACGCCAGAAAGTAAGTAAACTAACTATTAATATTAATGTAATAAGTATTTAATAAAAACAAACTATAAGTAAAATATAGCCTTTTATAATAGTTCAGTTTGTTTGTATTAAGTATTCACTTCAACTTTTAGCTTGCTTTTTATTTTCATTTTATTTATTACACATTTTTTAGCATTTCATTTTGGGGTAGAGAGCATTTTTTAAATATTTTTGTTTTTATAGAATGTAGTGATTTTCGCCATATATTTCCAGAATACATTTTTGAGTATAATTATTATTGTTTATTTATTCGAATATATGTGTGGACACATCCCGTCTCCCTTGCTGTTATTAGGTATTATTATGATGCACGTTTTGTTTTCTCTCTGCCAGAGGCGAAAAAAGTATTTTGAAAAAAAAAATTAAAAAAATTTCAAAATTCTTGGATCCGGCCCTGCTCTCTACCCGCTCCTGATTTGCTCGCTGTCCACATAAGACCGAATCCGAAAATTAAAAAGATGACAAAATTATACTCAAAAATTGTTCTATAGTTTTGGCGATGCATGAGACAATCCTCAAGTGTCCGACGCCCGGGTGCAACGGTCGGGGGCACGTCAGTTCCAACCGGAACACGCACCGCAGTTTATCCGGTTGCCCCACAGCCGCAGCCAATAAGCAAGCGGCTCGCGAACACAAATACCATAGTAGCTTGCAACGCATTAAATCGCCCCAGCAGGGCAGTCATACCGCTTACGGTAAGTCCGTGCCTGCACAGCAAGAAATAAAATGCCAAATCAAGTCCCCAAGTCATCCCCCTTTGCTGGTAAATGGTTCGACTTATTAAGCTAAACAGCAGTGAGATACAAAATAAATTACCCTTTGATTATTACATAAAGTCGCCACTGCGAATGTTTTCCATTGCGTCATCAATTTCAAATTTCAAAAACCGGTTTGTCGACATACGTCCTTAACACATCCCACATACGAATAAAGTACACAGTAAAAAAGTTATTTGTTAATTTTAACCAAATATTAACCAGATTTTATAATTATAACATTTTGTAGATTTAATATCAAAATCCTGTCAATAATTCAACCATAATTCTTCTTATTTTCAAAAAGGACCTTATTTTTACAAACCTTTTTGTAGACCCAGTAACAAAAGTACGTATAACAGTAATGGCAAATTTATGACGCAAATTCCATACAAAAAATGGCATCAAAGATTCTTCACATTGTTCACTACTTTGGCATTATATTTCTCACTTTGTGTGTAAATAAAGTATTTATTCATGTTGAAATGCTCTCTAAACCCACACCAGACTTTTATTTGTTATTATTTGCATGTAGATGTTAACCTAACACACCCTAAAACATTTAAACTCATTGCGTTACTCTTAGGTTCTTGTCAAAACGACTTTTCTTCAACGTACGACGGAAAACGTTCACCAGCTCCTGAAGACGTTAAACCAAGCTACCTAGTGGGTTATCCCAACATACCCAATCAAGATTCAGAAAAATCTCCCTACGACCAATACTACAACAAGAATAAGGATTTAATGAAAATACCCAAATCCGAAATAAGTTCGAGCAGTTGTTGTAATGTTTCCGATCAAGGTTTATTAGTACCAAAAACTGAGATAACGTCTAGCTGTAGATCGCCACCCAGCAACATGAGGGGTGCATATGAACCCTACATGAACCACGACTCGAATTCTTCATCTATGTCAAGCATGGATACTATATCCAGAGGACCTCAGCATCCAGTCCACCACTTAGGTATGCACTTAAGAATACTATGTTATTAAGATAACTTATTATGTAGATTCTTTAGGTCCTCAACCGGGGTACACAATGGAGCATCAAATGCCCCACAGATCCCCCTACCAGCAATCTCCAATGTCTGAAGAAATGTACCATCGATCGGAAAGATCCTACACGGATATGGGAGAATCCATGGCCTCCAATATAGCCAGACCTGTGGTCACTTACTCCAACGAGATTGTTAACAGATCGTATGACTCTTCGATGGTAAACTCGTCGAGCCATCGGCCATACGACCCAGGCACTGGAGGATTCGAAAGGTACTTTTGATGATTAAAATACTGTTCGACATAAATCTGATTGTTTTGTTCAGGTACGATTCAAGTCAATGCGTTTCTCTTCAACAACCGTTGGGTCCACCAAGGGTTCCTCCACAGGGTATGTACGGTTACGGTTCTCTCGAAGAGCAGCAGGAGCAAAGGTACCATCAGGAAGCGTCGGCTGCCCAGCACCACCAACTATCCGTAGCCAATGCAGTAGCGCAGGGATTGATGAAAAGCGAGGAGCAAGAGTCCACTGGCCCTCTGTACCCAAGGTAGGAATATCCATACATATTGCCGTTGTTCATATCTGCAAACAAAAGGCAAACATGCATGTACAATTTCGTCGTTTTTTGCAGGCCAATGTATCAATACGACGCGGGCGGTGGACCGTTGCCTCTGGGATTTTCGGCCATCAACTTGTCGGTGAAATGTGTGACTACCCAGGCCCAAATGAAAGGCAGCGGGCCCCACACGTCCCCCGGGGGCAGCGTTATTGATCTGTCCACGTCCAGCGTCACCACCACCAGTCCCCAGGTAAATAAGCTAACAAAAATTAATACACCCTCTTCAAAATTTTACTGTATCCTTTGTATATCGAAAAACGCAAGTAAACACAGTAAAAAAATATAAAAATTTTGGTAAAATATTTTCATTTGTTAAAATGCTTTTTTACAAAAAATTATGTTAAAATTTTACAAAATAAAATAAACAAACTACAAAGTTATTTTGTTAAGAGTATATTGTAACATCCTAAGAAGAGTTACACCTCGGGGTATTTAGTTAGAGAAACAATCGAGTATTCCACCACCTCATCACACTTCATTACAACCACTGATTATTTATTTAGGATCTCGGCCAGGATTTAAATAAACGAGCGATATAAATGAAACATTCAACATTTACATTTCCTCGTCCACCACCGGCAATTATTAAGTAAAACGTGTTACAGGTGGCTTACACGTCGCCCCATTACGGCGGCGGTCAAAGAGTGGGCGGCAGCCCGCAGGCGGCGCCCAGCCCCCATCTTTCGGCCAGTCCCCAGGTGCCCAGTCCCCAAGGTCAAACGTTGGATCTCAGCGTCAGCCGGCTTTCGCACAGGTTAGTTACGCTTCTATATTAATTATTCATTATTTGCGAGACCGTCAGGCCGTTCGGTCTTTTACCAAATACACTATCCCCTTTAATTTCACTCTAATTGCATTCTAACAATATTAGAATTCTTCAAATAGTAAAGGGGAAGTAAATTCATTAAAAAACCGTTCCGTTTCCTTCTAATTTCTAGCCGGCAAACGGAACCTGTCGATTTCTCAAGCGCAAATGAACCCGTTAATTTCAGTGGCGTTCGATCGGTCTCCACCTTCGCCACCGCACCATCATCCGGCCCGCCCCCGGTACTTGCACCTGCCGGCTCCGGCTACAGCAGAGAATCCACGCCGGACAGCGGTGGATCGCACTACATGGACGCCTACAGAGACCCAGGTAAGGCTTAAAAAAATAATTTACCGGTTGTTTACCGGCTTTTGCCAATTGATAATTTTTTAAAAGCACAAACAAAAACCATTTAAAATGTCAATAATCCTAATTTATAACACCATACAAATTTACCGGTTTTTTTATTTTTACCGGTTTTTTATATTTCGTTTAGTTTTCGTAGTACAATAAGAAAACAAGTTAAAAATTAAAAAAAAACTCATGTTTAGTCCAGTAATCGCCTTACCGGTATTTTCTGAATTTACCGGTCTCACAAATTTTGTTTGGATTTTAATTTCTATAAAACAAAATCAAAATTTTACAAAAAATAAATTTACCGGTTTTTTTATATTTACCGGTTTTGCATATTTTGTTTGGTTTACGTGGTAAAAAAAGAAAACAAGTTCGAAATTTTAAAAATTCTCATTTTTAGCCCAGTTATTGCCTTACCGGTATTTTCTGAATTTACCGGTCTCACTAATTTTGTTGGGATTTCACTTTCGTTAAAACAAAATCAAAATATCACAAAAATATAAATTTACCGTTTTTTTCATATTTACCGGTTTTGAATTTTTTGTTCAATTTTCTAGTAAAAAAAGAAAACTAGTTTAAAAAATCTTCATTTTTAGCCAAGTAATCGCCTTACCGGTATTTTCTGAATTTACCGGTCTTGCAAATTTTGTTGTTTTTCGCTTCATTACATAAAATCATCTACCGGTTAATTTACATAAAATCAATTACCGGTTAATTTCTTAGGTTACGGCCCCATGAGCCCGCACCCCGGCTATGGTATGACGACAGTGGCCGGCGACTACGCCGGCAATCCTTACGGCGCCCCTTACCCGGCCGGTGGTTATTCTTGCGCCGGCGGTTACCCTGGATCCGTCTCTACCGGCTACCCGGTACCGCCGGGCGGATATTCGCCGAGCGCTTGCTATTCGATGCCGCCGCCACAGCACTCTATGGGTCCGCACGATAAATCACCGAAAGATGGAAGGTGAGTGTCAATGTTTATGGTTTATATTTTAATTGGTAATTTACCGGCAAATGTCAAAATTAGTTTTAATTTGAACAGAATTAAATGGTATAAACATTAAATATTTATCAAGTTTTATATTACCAGATATGAAAATGCGGTTTCAAAATATATTTACCTACGAATCTTATCGCAATGAACGATAATTTAGTATACATACATACGCTTTAGTTAGTCAAGTGACGTAAAATAGAAAATTACTTTAATAGTTGTGTGTGTGTGCTTTGTAGCAAATATGAGAGATAACAGGTGAATTTTTATACGATTTGTATTTATATTTTTGACATTTTTTGTTTTGTTAGGACATTTATAGGAATACAAATTGATGCCAAATTTACCTTTGATTTTTATTATATTTGTCATTGTACATTCCTTGTGTTGCATTAAATTCTAAATTAATAAAGGCAAAATTTAGTATATCATTAGTACAAAAATTATTTTCGCAAAGTTGTTTTTGATAAGTATTGAAAAAACTGATGTTTATAAAATATTTTTTTCTTTGTAGTTTGAGCGGCTGTCCCCGATCGGATAGATCCCAGATTCAGGCCCATTCCCAAGAGCTCAAGTGTCCCACTCCTGGTTGTGACGGATCGGGACACGTGACGGGAAACTACTCGTCCCACCGAAGCCTTTCCGGCTGTCCCAGAGCCAACAAACCAAAGAGCAAACCCAGAGACGGTCAGGATTCTGAACCTCTACGGTAAGAATTTAATCAACTTATATGAAAGGTATATTGATTTACTGCTGAGGGTCTTTTATTCTTAGCCAGCGCACCCCTTTGCCAGTTAAAACCATTGAAACAGAATTATTTTAATTAAAACGTCAACCTTCTGGCCACCCTTCATTATTATTTCTGATAATGTTATTTTCAATCTGGGATTTCGGAATTAATTTCATTTCGAGACGAATGCGGGAAAATGAGAGTTTAAATAACAAAATAAATTAAGAAATACATCCATCACATTTTAAGATACAGATTAATTAAAAGTATTTATTGACGTAACGATTCAAACTTACTGGAATCATAAAAATGATTAACAAGCCAAAATATCCCCCAAGGTAATTTCCTTGTCGATAGATCAAGTTTTGGTGGTTGGGGTTGGGGCGGGAACTTGCCCAGGTAATGATCGAAAATTAACGTTGTATATTTGACCATTTCACGCTATCAGATGTCCGATACCTGGTTGCGACGGATCCGGACACGCCACAGGAAAATTTTTATCGCACAGGAGGTAATTTTAATTGAATAGCATGATGGAAAAATTTTGGTTTCGTTTTGTTGTTTTTGTCGTTTCTATTTGTGGTTAGTTTGTTCTGAAATTTACCTTATTCTAGCGCTTCCGGGTGTCCCATCGCGAACCGCAACAAAATGCGGGTGCTGGAAAGTGGCGGTTCAGTTGAGCAACACAAGGCGGCGGTGGCAGCAGCCACTGCAATGAAGTTCGAAGGTGTGAACTGTCCCACGCCTGGGTGCGACGGTACCGGGCACATTAACGGGTCTTTTTTAACCCATAGATCCTTGAGCGGGTGTCCTGTAGCCGGGCAAACGGTCAAGAAAGCCAAATACCCCGAAGATATGCCCTTCTACTCCAAAGGATACACAGGTAAATGCATATTGTAACCTCAAACGTCACTTTGACAGCAATTGAAAGATTAAAGCCTGATTTATAGATCCTTTCTCCCGTAAAAGATGAACAATACGAAAACCGTAGTGCCGTTTATAGATTCCCGTACGGGATTGTATTGTTCATCTTCTACGGGAGGAAGGCAATCTATAAATTAGGCTTAAGATGTCTTTCGGTATCGTTGTTTTAGTTGATTCAGTACACAGAAAATAAAACTTAAATTAAGATATCTATTTGTAGGTATAGAGCAGGCTCCTGGTAACGGTGAGGATTTGATGACCTTGGAGGCTGAGATTTCGGAGTTGCAGCGCGAAAATGCCCGCGTCGAATCTCAGATGCTGAGGCTGAAGTCTGACATCAACGCCATGGAGACCCATCTTACGCACGGGGAAAAGGTAAGACTTGTTTTGTATTTTTTCAAAAGATTTTGCTCTTTTTATTTTACCAGAAGTAGAAGTAATATGTTTCTTTTATATTCAAAATTGAAATTTTGTCATTCTAAAATTTGATAAAATGGGGCAAAACTTTAACTCTTTTTAAAACACAAAATGCACAAGTTTTTATTTTTAACATTGGTTGTTAAAAAGTTTTTTGAGTATTGAAAATACAGATTTTGATAGTTATGCAATAAAAATGTAAACATTGTTTTTGCTTAAAATTAATTTAATATTTTTATTTTATTTTTGTGCATTTTTATGACGCAATTTATTTTTTTTTCGGTTACCCAGTTACTCAATTTTAAAGTTTTGGATTTTTTGCTTCTATGATTTTCTGAAATGACTTCCTATATAGGTAGCGTGTTTATTTTTTGTCAATAATTTTGTTGTTTTTAGCAATTTTTCATGATCTTTTTTAAGTTTAATTTTATCAAAGAAATATTTTTTCTTTTCTTAAAAATACCACAAATGTTTTTTCCAAACAACACTTACTAGTTTTTTTTTATTAAGTCAATAATAGCTCATTTTTTCACCAAATAAGTTTTCAAAATAAGAGGAAAAACTTTCTTGTTTTGGCGTGTTCTATCATTCCCCAAAGTATGACAATTTATTAGCTGACACCTTGTATATATTTCTCTTTTTACTTTTTTGTTTCAAATTTTGTTTGTATGATTTTTTTTGCCCTTTTTCGAAATACGCATAAAAATCAATTCTCAAACTCAAAACAAACAAAGTGATAGTTAGCCCAGTGATAATAGGTTGTCACTTAAGAAAAAAAACCTAGTCAAGATTTTTCTTTGAAATTATGCCGGCGTTGTCAAATATCAAAAGTTAAAGGTCACGAAAAATAGTTTTTCCCGATTATCTCGTAAACTATTGATTACCTAAATATTGGTAGTTATGAAATTTGTTCCTCTGCATATATAAAGTTAAAATATGACCTATAAAATATATCAAATTTTCACCATTGCAATATGATGGGAAAATGGGGTTATAGAGTGTGATGCTATCTTTTAACCTTAATTAAGACATTAAAAGTACCTACTATCAAATTTAATTGAAACATTTTCTATTAATTTTTGTTATTATAAGTTCTTATTTATGAATCTAGTTCTATATAAGCTGTCTCAATATATTATTTTTTTAATAAGAAATGTTAGGGACAACTGATAAATGCAGAGAGCCTTAATAGTATAATGACTTTGGATTTTTATTTTTTTTATCCGAACTACAAATTTTATAATCACCAAAATTTACCCGTTTTTTATGGCCTTTGACCTTGGATATTTGGCAACGCCGCGGCGGCAAGAATTCGCTTGGGACTTTTGAGAAACTATTCGAAAAAAAAATCTTCACTGGTATTTTTTCAAATTTCTTGCCTAAAGTTGGTTTTATATAGATGCGAAATGCGAATTGCGAAATACGAATATTCGCAACTTCTATTTCATATAAATGCGAACTATTTTAGGAACATTGTTTTCTTACTAGGCGATATTTGCCATGCTATTTTAGGTACTTAAATAGTAAAGTTAGTTAAAGTGACTATTGCTGGATTTATGCAGCACAAATTAACATTAACATTAAGATTAACATTATCATTAAGAACTTCTTAATAAGAAGTTAAATGAACGTAATCCATTGGAAGCTTTTATGCAACACATAAACATAACTTTAACATTAAGTTAACATTAATTAATGTTAACTTAATGTTAAAGTTATGTTAAGATATGGCCAACTTGTATCTTCTTATTTTTAAATAAACCGTGTCAGTAATGCCAACATACCCTAAAATAAAATGAAACGTGCTGCTGAATGATTGATTTTTTATTTAGTGATTGTATTCTTTGGATTATTAATAATAAATGAATGAAAACAATATTGTTTGACGTGCAGTTTATAGTTTTCATTTATTTTACCCAACAGATGCTAAAACGGGGTTAAAACAAAATCCAAATAAACCAAAAAGTCAGATATCAAAATTGGTTTAACTTATACGCACGCTTAAATTGCCACTAATTTTGCTACAAAAAATACACACCTTAAATTAGCTTAATGTTAACTTAATATTAACATATGTTAATGTGTGCTGCATAAATCCACCATATAAAGGTAAAATAAGAAACATTAATGTACGTCAAAAAGCTCTTTGTCTATTATAAAAAACAAACAAAAACTCCAAACAATTATTTAAACAGTTCGAATAAAACTCAACAAAAGAAACACTACGATACAAACGAAATAAACCGCAATACGCCAAATTAGTGCGATTTTCACAAAATATTGGATTTCAAATCTTGCGAATTCGCAGGATATGCCGAAACCAATGAAAATATTTTTCGCACTTCGCAAATCGCATTTCGCATCTGTATGAAACCGACTTAATACTTACGGACCCTAACGAATCTTATCGTAACCAACAGCGCCGTAATCGTAAAAAACCAATCGGACTTCACTAAACTCTCCCTTCCCCCCACCACAGGAAACGCAGGCGATCACGCAGCGCAGCAGCAACTTGAACGAGTACTACGAGAGTCTGCGCAACAACGTCATCACGCTGCTCGAGCACGTGCGCCTCCCGGGCTCGGCGCCCCCCGAAAAGCTGGGCCAAGAAAACTTCGACAGCTACCTGAGCAAGCTGCAGACCCTCTGCACCCCCGAAGGCTACTGCAGCGACGAGAACCGGCCGCTCTACGAGACGGTCAAGTGCGCGTTGCAGGACTTTACAGTCCTGCCAACCCCCATCTAAAGTCCATTCATTTACGCGCTCCGTCTGTCGAATGAATAGGCTTTAGACTTTTTTGAGGTTATGTGATGACGGTTTGACGTTTGGAACTGTCAACAGTAGGTATTTCCGATTACAGGTTTTTGTATTAAGTGTAAATGTCTACTATTAAAAGTATTAAATTTGTACGTAATTATTAAATTGTGATCTATTGTATATAGTTAATAAATGAGGTAAAATTGTATAAATTTAAAAAGAATATTGTATATAGGACAACATACCACTTACATATATCTTTTCGTTGTTGGATGATTATTTCATTGACTTTAGCCGACTTCTTATTGTTACTTATTGCATTTGGTTGAAGTGTACAAAGTTATCTTTAGAGGAGTATATTTTAATAAATGGCTTCAAAATTTTACCGTTTAAGTAATTAGCATAATTTTTTAGATACTGTGATTATGTATACTTAGTATTTATAGGTAGTATATAGTGTAAAACATACTCCGCAATGTGCAATGTACTTAAGATAATAATTTATTCACAATGGTGTTCAAGCATTTTTAAATTTTGTTATTCTGTTATTTATTACTATTATTATTATTATTATTATTGAGGGTTTTCTCAAATTACGTTTTCCCCTGAACGGTGTTTTTTACTGTGCTGTTTACTTACTAAATATTGTTGTAAAAGATGTGTAAATATGCGATACGTAACTAATTCTCAGATTCTCATCATTAATTATTTGTTCACGGCAAATATATATGTTAAAAATACATGTGTTGTTATTATAAATAAAGTATTTGAAAGGTCCAACCATTTTTTATTCATTATTTCATTAACCACACATAATTTTAAACAACATTTTAAAAAAACAACAATAAAAAAATTGAATGTGGCGCCATAACAATTTAAATTTCTGCAACGTATCATTGGACGATACAAAATCAAGCATGCCATGTGCGACACAGCGCATGCGCAAATAGAGAATTCAGAAACATTCGAAAATGGTGGTGAAGTGTCATTTTTGTTGTATAATTTTAATAATTATTGTTAACAGTATTTAATTATGCAATACAAACATTGTAAATTATGCTTCTACAAGTCTACAGACGTTTTGTAAGTACACTTTTACTCTTTAGTTTAATTGGGGTAAATAAAAAGCAAGAATTGACTTAATAAAATATATTTTTAAATATAACATAAATAAAAAACAATTAACTGCTATCAATAAAAAAACTATGTTAATAATTTTCACTCACCTTTCTGAGTATTAAATTAACAATTAAAACATAAATGATGCAAAATAGTTTTTTCAATGCACTACATAGTTACCTACCTATAAACCTTGCCCAAGTGGCTTAGGCAAGTTTTGGTATTAATAAAAAGGGAAGTTAAAATATGTTTGTTATAGAATAAAAATGTACATGTTAAAACACATAAAATTATAAACATAAGCACTGTCAAATAATAATTAGACAACACTTATATACTAGACAATATAATATAAATACTTTAAAATCGCCCAGTAGATGGGTCACATACATAAAGGCATTTATTGATCACACAGTATTTACCAAATATACAAATTTTGTATAGAAGCACACGTTTGTACTTAAAAATTTAGTTGCTTGTCAACGGGCAATCTAGCTGCCCCAAACAAAAAATTATAAATTAAAATATCACCATCGTCTAATCACAACTAATTTTAGAGTGATTTAATTAGTAATCAGCCCGGTCAAATAATTTGACTGGGCTGCAATCATCAAAGATCATTTCTTTATGAGAGATCTCACTTTATTTACACATCGGTCCATGAAGTTCCGCTTCCGCTTCGAATCACTCGAGTTGGTCGAATAGGTGGACATTTTTTATTCATTATTTTATAACCGCTCACATAATTTTAAACAACATTTGAAAAAAACAACAATAAAAAAAATTGAATGTGGCGCCATAACAATTTAAATTTCTGCAACGTATCATTGGACGATACAAAATCAAGCATGCCATGTGCGACATAGCGCATGCGCAAATAGAGAATTCAGAAACATTCGAAAATGGTGGTGAAGTATCATTTTTGTTGTATAATTTTAATATTATTATACAAACATTGTAAATTGTGCTTCTACAAGTCTACAGACGTTTTGTAAGTACATTTTTACTCTTTAGTTCAATTGGGGTAAATAAAAAGCAAGAATTGACTTAATAAAATATATTTTTAAATATAACATAAATAAAAAACAATTAACTGCTATCAATAAAAAAACTATGTTAGGTAAATAATTTTCACTCACCTTTCTGAGTATTAAATTAACAATTAAAACATAAATGATGCAAAATAGTTTTTTTGATGCACTACATAGTTACCTACCTATAAACCTTGCCTAAGTGGCTTAGGCAAGTTTTGGTATTAATAAAAAGGGAAGTTAAAATATGTTTGTTATAGAATAAAAATGTACATGTTAAAACACATAAAATTATAAACATAAGCACTGTCAAATAATAATTAGACAACACTTATATACTAGACAATATAATATAAATACTTTAAAATCGCCCAGTAGATGGGTCACATACATAAAGGCATTTATTGATCACACAGTATTTACCAAATATACAAATTTTGTATAGAAGCACACGTTTGTACTTAAAAATTTAGTTGCTTGTCAACGGGCAATCTAGCTGCCCCAAACAAAAAATTATAAATTAAAATATCACCATCGTCTAATCACAACTAATTTTAGAGTGATTTAATTAGTAATCAGCCCGGTCAAATAATTTGACTGGGCTGCAATCATCAAAGATCACTTCTTTATGAGAGATCTCACTTTATTTACACATCGGTCCATGAAGTTCCGCTTCCGCTTCGAATCACTCGAGTTGTTCGAATAGGTGGACATTTTGTCCGCGTCGCAGCTGCTTTCGAAACTCTGTTGATCGAGGTCGTCGCAGCTTTTGGTGGTTTCGGACGGGATCGGATCGTCGTCAGCTGCGGCTGCCAGCTGCGGCTCCGAGTCCAGCAAGCCGTCCAGACTTCTCGATCGGTTTGGAGCGGCGGAAACGCTGCTCAACGCCAGGGAGGACGTCGGCGTGTTCGAGCCTCTCCTAGGGTAGTAGGGGTATTGGGGAGGGAGACCCCCTCGATGGTTCCTGTTGGAGTTCATCAACCACGTTCGTGGCGGTATACTGGACTTGTAAAATCTGGAATTAAAGACTGAAATTTATGTTAGTTTTACGTTTTGGTTAATATTCAAATGCAAAGCAGTTATTTTTTGTATCGTGCTATGGGCAAATTTTCGTCAAATGTACATTTGCTGTCCCCAGCTATTTTTATTTTTGACCTTTGTTGATAAGTTTTGTATTTATTATATTTAAATACCCCCTTGCCTTCCTATTAGGACCCATCGTATTTTGTTTAATTACTTTATATTTCTATATATGGCAGAAAAACTAGGTGAAATGTCCTGTAACCTAACTGTCCCCAGAGGCGATTTTTTAATTTAAATTATTATATTCTTCTTCTTTGCAGCTTTCTTCTGAAAAAATAAATTATTTTTGAACAATGGAAAGTTCTTTTATTCGTATATAAAAATAAAATAGTTTTCTACAAACTAGTTTTTCCTAACGTTGTCTTCTATACCGACTGCTTCGAAATAGAGACACCAGATAGAGATACTATCGTGTTATTTCTAGAGGGCATACATTTTTGATAGTTCGGCAACAACAAGTGAGCACGTGTAAAGTGTGTGAATTTTTTGTAAATATTTTTAAAGCTAAGATGTTTTTGCGTACACTTTTGGTGTCTTTTACAAAACGCTACATACAACTCTTGTTTTAGAAGTTAACTTTTTTATTTTCATTTTGTATTAAAACATAGTAGAAAATTCCAAACAAATGCCGAAAAATATTTACATTTAACAGTATTTCTAAAAAATAACGTTTGAAAAAGTCAAAAGCAATGTGTCATAAAACGTTCAGGAAGATGCGTTAGGAGGAGGACAATGTTTAATTTCTTCCCTGTGTTCCTTCCCTATTTCAGATTAACCCTATAAGTTTTATTTCTTTAAAGTTTATTTTTGTTATTTATAAACTTATAGAATTTTTTTGCAGTATATTACACTGTTCTATCACAAAGGAAAAAAAATCGATCAAATTGACCTGCCTGGACAAAATATATATACAAAATGTACATTTAACGAAAATTCGCCCCTATACCAGCCGAAAAGGCGTTCAAAATTAAAGGTACCCAGCAAACACAAGTCTGATTATGTACCTAATGGCATTTTTAGCCAAAGCTTTTCTTGTAAATTATCAATAATAAATATTACTGTCAATTTATAGGGTCATTATAGAACCCTAACGGTTGTGTTTGCTGGGTAACAAGTCATCAAAACACAAAAAAATTACCTTGGATAAGGCGTAGGTATTCCCGAGGCGCTGGGGCCATCTAGTCAATCTCTCAGATTCGTATCTTTATCTGAACTTTTTCCACTCCCTGAATCGTTGCTGTGCATTCTCTGGTAACTAGGAGGCTGCCTCACCAAATTCGGATTCGATGGAGTACCGGGAGTTATGTCACCTTTATTTAAACCGACTCTCGACATTGGCCCGTCACGTGAATTCAATTCACCACGCATGAACCTGTAACAAGAAAGTGGAGAAATTATACGACTGATTTTTGGAAATACAAAGTGTGATTGTTATTTTGATACCAAAGCTTTTTATATGATAATACTGGTATAGAACCTTCTACCCAACAAGAATTACAATTTCTACAGCCCATGTATACTTTTGGACGTTTTTTAGTAAATACACATGCGAAAAGTTGTTTAATATACAGGAACTGTAGATTTATAGGCATATATCTAAATCAGACATAAAAGCATTATTTGGGTTAGTCAGTGATTCTGCTGACTATCAATGTAATGAAACTCACCTTTACCCTCAAATAGAGAGACATGCAAAGGAAAAGCAGAACAGTGCATTGATTAAAATGTGTGCCTCATGTTATACATGATCATTCATAATTTAGTATAATCATAATACATGAAAATACTCACATGTATCGCTTTTATAATATACTACGTTTTAATAGTACATAAGCTTTACATTTTAGAAAAATATTTCCCATTTTTATCGAAGATGTTAATAATATCTTCTCAGATTTCTTCGCACTAGTCTAAAGATAAAAACCCTGTGTTATTATGGTTCACATTTATTCAAATAAATATTATCTAATAAACAACAATAAAATAAATATTTAATTAAGGAATGTCTTTAAATATTAAAGTAGGTATCCAAAAATTAATGAGTTACATTGGTTGTTTGACCAAGAAGAAACCTAAAAATAAAGTTTATTTTGTTAAAAGTAATTAAAGTAAATAATCAACCTCAAAGAACTTATAAAAAAGGGGAAATAGTTTTGATTGAGTTCCAAAACCAATGTAAGGGAAGGTTGTATTAAACAAAATTTAGTAGAGAGTAGTAATTGCATGAAAAAAGTTTTGAGTCCAAATTGAATTTCTTCACTTAAAACTTTTATCATGAAGAAGTGTTATTGTTAATACTTTAAAACCCACTTTTTAAAAAAATAGGCATGCATTTATTAATTTTTTTTGTTAAATAATAATTATATTACCTTTCAAGTTTGTCCACGCAAGCATCTTGGTAGTCATGGATCCATCTCACGGCATTAAAGTGACAAACAGGCCTTATATCTTCTGGAAGTTGTTCGAGATCGGGGAACGAGAAATTGTCGATTATCGGAATAATGTTGCAGTTTGACTGAAGGGCAGCAACTATTTCCTATAAAACGAAACGAAACATTAACAAAAATGCTTATATTTTGTCTGTATAAAAACTTACTCGATGCACCCAGTCTTTTTTCTCTTCATCGCCTATGCATCTGTCCAAAGCTTTCGGTGTCAAAACAAGAAGGAAATGTTTCGCCTTCTGTATGCTCTGTAGGAGATTGTTGTCGAATTTTCCAGCCTCGAGCCGTTCTACATCGATAAAAACACTGAACCCTCTCAACTGCAGATGGACTTTCAGAAGACTTGCAAGTTGTGACCCATTCGATCTCCTGTAGCTTACAAATACATCCAGCGATTTGTCCATACCCGGATCACTGGCATTTTCCAAACCGTTCTCGAGCTGCCTTATACCTTCCATAATTCTAAATCTGTGTATGGAGTTTTTGATGAAGCATTCCTCATGCAGTTGGTCTTCAGATAAGTTCCTTAAACCTTCTTTCGTCTCAACTCCAGCATTAAGGAAGTTGTAAGTGTATATACTGAACTGCACCCCCATACTTTGTAAAATCGAGTTTATATTAGCTGCGTCCTTCGATGTGTAGTCTGCCATTTTCTTCAACTTCTGCAACTCCCTGGTGAATCTCTTGATTTCAATGCCGTTTTTAATGCCGATATCGTCTCTCAAGTTATCTTCGTTTAACTGCAACAACAAGTCACCGTCCACTCTGCTTTCAGTGAAGTTATTCGAATATTTGTTGAATCCGATTTGTTTGACCCATTCCTCGACGTCTTCGCACGACCATAAAGGTACTTGTTGGCTGAGTTTGTGCGGCACTTCTTCACCGATGAGTCTTAAAGCTTGCGCCGCGTATTTCGACGCCACTGCATTGGGACAGCTTGCTACTTTCTTGAGTTGCTCTACAGCACCAATTTCGGCGAATATGCTGGTTTTGCCTTGTTGCTTTTTTATTCCCGCCTCCATGCAGAAGTGAAACGAGGCTAGGTTGCGCGCCTCTTCCCTTTTCGATGATAATACGGGCACTAAATGTTTCAACCAAGTCTTACTTTGCCCGTGAGCGTGAGCCAAGTTTGATCGTGCGAATTCAGAGGGGTTGTGTGAGGTGACAAAAGGCTCCACCAAGCCTAACGTGCCAGATTGCAATACTTCTGCTTCTATCTCAGGGTTTGCCACCAGAACCGTTATGGCCAGACAGGCGTAGTATTTGATGTTGTCGTCGTTATGGAAAGCCAGTGGGAATAACCACATTGGTACTTTACGTTTGATCATTGCTTCTTGATTTTCGGCCCCACCGTACAAGCTAAGGTTTGCTAGAGCGCCAGCGCAATGCCTTAAAGTGGGCACATCACTCTTTCGGCACTCGAATAGTAAGGCATCTAGACCTCCCAACTTGACCACATTGCTGCAAGTTTCTTCGCTGTGTTTGAACAAGTGTTCCAAAATCCCTGTACCCACTCTCGAGTGATCCACGGATGTATTCTTCGTGCACACACATGCTCCATTCACAACTTTATCCAATCCGTGTTCCACCACGTGAGCTCTATTTTCTCCTGTAAGGCATTGCTCAAGCAATCTCGCACTGGAGAATTGCAACTCGGTTTCTTGTTTCGTGCAATTTGCCATTATCAAGTCCAACCCGCCACAACTTCTCAACGTGTTGCATAGAGATGAACCCAACTCGTGACCATATGTAGGGACAGCCCAAGCTTTACCCATCACTTCATTCATCTTGTTGAGAATTTGTGGGGCTTGTTTGGAGTCCACACTTTTTAAGTGTTTAAAGGAAGTTTCCAAATAAGCAGTGTATTTTTCTATGGCCAGATCGATTTCCAGTTTGTGGGATGTCGCGGAAAGACTGTCCAAGTCGCCGAAGTTTGCATTGAGAATCACGTCTTCCATACTGCTACCGTTGTTTAGAATGTGGAACTAAAATTTTGCCATTAGTAACGTTATTAAATTACAACAGTTTCAGACTCTCACCTGTGCTTTCTGCTGCAACATGCTGCTAGACATCTTGGTGACATCCTTTTTGGAGGTAAACACCGATCTACTAGAAGTAACTTGCTGCTGGTTGTAAATCCCATTGTTTGTGACAGTTTGCATCTGCTGCTGGGACTCCGTAGCACGTTTTTCCGAAGTAAAATTATCCGTGGTCACTTTCATGTTTGTGCTGGCCATATTTTTCGATTCTGCCTGGCTCAGATCACCCGCTTTGAGAAGTTTTTGTTCCTGCAACAATGCTTAATGTTCAGTTCGGAGTACGCGAGATTTTAAGTTGTTAGTCATGTAATTTTGCATAAACAATTGATAAGGTTAAGCTGCGTGACATCGCCTGTTTGTTAATTAAGTTATTTTTATCTTGTGTAAACTAATAAGGTTATAAAAGAATGATAAAAAGGCAAATGAAACAAAATATTATTATAATCCCAAAAATTTAAAATATTTAAAAAAATATTGTGGTAAAATTAGGAATTAAAATACATCAAGTCATATAAAGAAGCAGGGTTCGCCTGATTTAAATCATGATTTTTTTCGAACCCTGTAAAGAAGTAAAAATGTAGGTATAGACAAATTTGTTTATCTACTCCGAAATTGACAAACTGTGACTTAATGGCATTTTAGTAACGGGCTGAAGTTAGAAACAGTGGTTTTTGGGCATGTTAGTCACGGCTTTATTATAAAATGCGAAAAGTAAGGTTAAATTCGTCATATGTCAAATATTCATGAATTAAAATTGGCTTTAAATTCTTATTTCTGTCCGTCGTAGATAAAGTACAGTATGCAACATGTTTTATAAACTTTTCTGGACACTCATTTTTATTAAACACTCGCTCGTGCTTAATAAAACACATAACTTAAATGGCGTTTATAAAACTTGATACATAATATACATAATATACTATAATGGTTCTAGAATTGCATAGAAAATCATATAAAATTGTGTAAAATAATAATGTTTAATATCACAAATTCCAAAAAATTAAATATAATAATAGAAAATAATATAAAATCAAAAATAACTTTAGATACATTATTCTGAACAATTGCCAAACAAATATATAAGTATGATTATATTTTACATTTTTACATTAAATATACCTTATAAGCACTACTAAATAGCTAGAGAACAATAGGTGTTAATTAGACTGTTAAAATTGTTTACATTTGCGGCTAAATTTAGCCTAAATTTAGGCGGCGTTTGCACAGTGGTCACAACAACCCGTTGGGGCTCCGTGTAGAGCCCGCACCGCTTATAAATGCCCTTTTTCACTGGCCATGGCGCCGACATTGCCACCAACGTCTAAAAACAAAAAACCACCAACTAATTTAAATGACGCGTGACGTGACACTTTCTAACTTTGCCACCTGCTCGCACGGAGCACGAAAACAAGGTGACTTGACGGATTTAGCGCGACGCTCGACTGCTGGATTTTTATTCCAGTGTTGCCAGGCGTAAGACACTAGAATCCACTGACTAGATTCTGATGAGAGAATTAATTCAAAAAAAAACTTTTAAGGCAGGTGTAAACCTAAGCTAGTAAATGTTTCGAAGACTCGGTGCGGAGCTCGAAGTTGTAGTAGTGCACAGTACTACCAACTTGAGCTTTAAGAGAAATTTTGTTATAGTTCCCATCTGAAATCATCTATTGTGATAGCTCTGACAACTTTGCTATAGGCGTAAAAATAAACACGCTCGATTCGTTTTATGTCACGTGGTTTTATTTTGGCGCATTGCCATGTAATATGCGTTTTTTTTCAAGATGTTTTTATTTTTTGTTATTTGATTTTTCCACCCAAATATTACTTTTGCTTTGATTAAGTCGAAGGTGTTTTTAATACATGAACCTATGTGTGAGCAAAGGTGAAAAATGTAAATATTATTTTGTAAACAAATTTTTCCAGGTAATTATAAATGGCGTACTTAATTTTATTAAAATAGGTAAAATATCGGTGTTAATATTTGGAAAGATTGTGGTTTGTTAATTTTATTTTGTAAAATTTTAACATATTTTTTTGTGGTACTTATTTTAAAAAAGGAAAATATGTTACAGAAAGTTTTGTAAAGGTAATCCGCATTTTGTAGACATTTTGTTAATTTCAAAGGTTACAGATTATATTGTTAATGTTTAACAAATTATTTCGTTGAAAAAGTACACGTATCATGCATCAAGTTTAACTGACTTCTTCTTACTTAACGTGTTCGTAACAACTGTCTAGAGTGTTTATAATATATTACCAGAATGCTGTTCTGTGCGAAGTGCAAAGTATTCGAAAAAAATACCATCACTGATATTAAAACTGAAATTAGGGGATACAGTGAAGTGGGTTAAAGTTACGAAATACATTGGTAAGTGTTGTAGTAGTACTGATAATTATATTGTACCAAAATTCTTTTCATTTAAGCTCCCAATTTCCAACAAATACTTTTGTAACTGGGTCTACAAAAAGGTTTGTAAAAATAAGGTCATTTTTGAAAATTAAAAGAATTAATGATTAAATTAAAATTGTTTTAGATACTGTGCAATTTCAAAAAATAGGACATTAAAAGTTTGGCCAAAGTTATGGGAATATGGCCAAATTTTTAAAGAAAAACATTATGTAATAAAATATAGTTTTAAAAATATCTGTTAACAAAGGTTATCTCGCAAAATTTTTGGCTTACCGGAGCAACATTCTCAACATCAACGTCTACATCCTCATCAAAAATCAAAATAATTTCTTCCTGTCCAGTATCCACACGATTTTGATTTTTCCGAATTTTCCTTTCCCTGTAAATATTCTGCTTTATACGGGAAACGTCGGTCGCATCCAGATCGAGATTCTCGCTTATCTCCTTCAAAACGATTTTTGGAGGCTTGTCGGTCTCCAGGGCGCGTTTTTTAGCACTGTTCGAAATTATCTCGCGCTTAAGATTTTTTATCTCGCCGTGGTTGTGCTTTATTTGCGTATCCAGCACATCTTTTCTGTTGCTGTCGGTTAGGACCCGTGAGGTACACCCGCGAGAAGTGCACCGCCACCTTATCGTATCCGAAGAAACTTTTTCTTGGTAGAATTTAAAGTTTTCGTAAACTATTAATGTTGAGCCGCGTTCGCTTAACATCGTGGTAAAATTGGTCGTTTTTGTACATGACATGTTTGTTGTTTGGAGGTTTGAACTGCACTGGTTATTTATTCCCAGGTAAAATGTCGAGAAAGGTTCGCTAGGTAGAAATTTTGGTATAGGGGAGACAATATTACCTTTGTTAAGTTATTAAATTTTATTGATGTAAACAATTTGATAAGTTTGTTACAGGAAAAACTGTATACCTTTTATGAGAGAGAAAAAATAGTCTATTGTGTTATACTTTAAAGATAATGTATCTTTTACGGCTTACGTCTTACATCAACCAATCACAGTACTTGATATGTCCATATTAAGCTCTGTGATTGGTTGACGTACACTGTTAAAAATTTCTATTGTAATTTTACTAAACATGTTTAGGAAGTTTTGTAAATTCACTACACGATTCATTACAACTCAATTTGGAAAAATTACAAAACGTTTGTTGAAATTCACTATGCATTTATTAAAAATTTGTTTAGTAACATTACTATACAGGTATTGTAATTTTACCATAGGTACAATTCATTTCAACTCACTTTATCAAAATTACAAAATATATTTTACAATTTTACTAAAAAAAATATTCTTATTTTGTACAACAAATTACACTAAAAATATTTAGTAATTTACGAAAGATGGTATTGTAAATATACTACGAAAAATAAAGACTGTAAAGATTTAAAAAAATGTAACCTTCACCTCGTCAGAGTTTATATTTTAAGTGCGTTCCACCAACTTCAAATACCGACAGACAGCTTGACAGATAGACCTATTTTGGGTCTTATCAATGTCGGGCAATTTGGTGTATTGGAACACACCAAAAACGAAAGACACCTGAGCTTATATACTGTCCACCTAAGTCAACCGGAGCGAGATGTAAGAACATCACGTGATTGCCGCAATCGGTACATACTATGCATTTTACATAACATTAACGCAAATCAAATTACAAACAATATTTGTAAATCTGAGATGATTTTTATTAGAAACTGTCAAACTGTTTAGTAAAATTACAATGCGTGTAGTATTTATATATAGATTGTAAAATTACAACTGATCTTAGTAGATTTCCCAACATGTCTTGGAAGATCCTTTGTTTTGCAAAACAATTGTAATTTTACAAAAGTGTACATGATTAAAATGATATAGTACATAGTATAGTATAGTATAGTATAGTCTAGTAAAAATGCAAACAAAAGTTGTATAAAATAAATAATGATTTGTATATTTCCAAACACTTATTGTAATTGAAATAGCAAATTTTGGTTAGTAATTTTATTGATTATCTTAGTAAAATTAAATTCCGAATATGAGTATGAGTATGAGTATGGGAACGCATGGCAAGCCCCAGATATATTGTCATCCACTGATCTCCCGAGGTTATATTACCCCCTTTCCGTTCTCCTGCGTATCCCGCCAAATCACAGCATTACCTGTGTTTGTTGGATCCGAAGTTTTTACGCCGGCTGGTAGATCCACCCTAGGAGTTCGTGGATGACAGTGTCAAAGGTTAAGGCAGCTCCCGGGATTTTTGTCAGCCGGGTCGGGCCATACGTCCAGTTTAGGAAGGGCTTTTGGAGGACATTGAACTGACCCAAAACTAAGTACAATCCGGAATCCTCCTAAACCAGGGCTTTAGTAATAACCCCATTCATTTGGTATTCCTGAATGGGGGTGGGTATGTTAGTTTTTTTGCTTACTCCGGCTACCAACCTTGTATATTCTTTATTTATTTTATTGCTATATTAGTGTTCATACCGTTTTCATTTATTTATGTCTTTGCCTTCTTACTTATTTTTTTTTCAACATAATTTAAAAATAAAAATATTAATATACAAAATAGATAAAGCCGGCCCTGTGGTGTATCGCATCAATATTTGAAACCCGGCTCCTATGTCAGGCGTGCAACGCATGCCTCAATAGATGGCCTACCACTTCATTTTCGCGTGGGGGCTTTGCCCATTTACTTTCTCCATCCTCCAAGCTTTGCTTGCGTGAGCTTATGTGTATATTATATAATATATATAATACAATAATATAATATTGCGACGCACCCACTTGATTTCCCTTCACACACGCACGCTGCCCTCTGCAATGATCAATTGTTGCCTGGTTTCCTGTTAAATTAGTATCTATATAAATTCAATATAAATTTCAATTAGTCAATACCAATACTAATACCAAATAATACAAATAATCAATACCAATATCAACCAATCAATCAATTAATCAATATTAACGTTAATATCAGTATCAACCAATTAATCAATCAATATTAATACTAATATCAATATCTATAATGCCAATATCAACATCAACACTAATACCAACAATATTACCATCAATACCAATACCAATATGATTATATCAATATCAATCAATCAATTAATTTATTAATTAATTAATTAATCACTTTATGTAAATCGATCTTCAAAATAGAGCCGGCCCTGTAGTGCATAGTGGAATGCGGCTTTATGGCCTGCTTGGATCTTGAATTCCGTGTATTAGCCTGGCTTGATTTATGAGTGTGACCCTAAATTTATTTATGATAAATTTTTGTCTTCTTGCTTGAATTGGTTTATTTGCTTACGCCTTTTACGCTGGTTGTTTACGTTTGTCTACTCTGAAAAAATAGGTTGTTTATTTAACAGTTACGGAAATGTTCTTATTATTTTTTAAATTTAATTTTTAAGACGAGTAGATTTCTTAGATTTTTTTGCAACTTTGTGAAATGCTTATATAAACATTTAACGATTATACGGTAAGACATGCAATTAGAAGAATTACTTAGCTTGATTATTAGGCTATAAACCTGATGCTTTGTCTTTCGCGGGGAGTCCTTCTCCTGTAGGTTTTTGCATAGAAAAAGGACGTTTTTGGAACGCTCCGATCCAGGTGCGCCGGTTGACTTATCGTTGCTGCCCAGCCTCAATTAGGCACTTATTCACTTGCACACTTTTACGGCGTTATCTCACAATTTTTGCACTTCTTGCACTTGTTTGTTTATTTATGTATTTATTTATTATTCATTAACGATCACCGACATTTCCGGATACTTTGTTTCGTTTTTTGTATTTTACGTTTGTATCGTATACGCCACTTAGGATCTTGACGCATCCGACCTCTTCGAGCATCAAGACGGTACTGTAAAATTAAATTCCGAATATGTATAGAAATTTTTCAAAATTTCAAATTCAATTCTACAATACAGAATTGTAAAATTAAGTATCTGACAAAAACAAAAACATTGTAAAATTGGAACCTGTTTAGTACTTTGGCTATAACAAAATGTAATATTACAACAAATGCGTATTAAAATTGCAATACAATACAACATTTTGTAATTTTACTATGCAATTGCTTAGTAAAAATGTAGTAATTTTACAAACATGTTTAACAGTGTAAGACATAAGCCGTGAAAGATAGATTCTGCAACATATTTATATAATATTAAAAATGTAAAGGATTTTTATAATTTTTCACTAAAATTTCATTATGTTTTGTTACATTTAAAGTTGCCTGTGAAGACAGCAATAAATAAAGTAGGTATTAAAAAACTTACATTAAAAATTCCCATTTAATCTTAACTAAAACTTTTCTTATGTATTATAAACTCACGGCATCTATTTCGATAAGTATTGACACAATTGTGATTCGTATCGGACTGATTTAGAGTCTGGTAAATATCGCTGAACCAAATTTAGATACTAAATGAATCATGTAAACAGTTTGACGAGTGTGATGTACCGCATAGTTGCGGTTTTCGATTAAATATAGCCTATTTGTTTGGTTTTGCTATTTAAATCACCCCGTTACACAATTTTCCGGCTTTAACGACAGTAATGATCTATAAAATATGTGGTATTTAACAGACGATATTCAAGCGTTCAAATTTTGGGCGAAATCAATAAAGTTTCAGATTTCCTTGAACTTTTCATGTAAATAAAGAAATATTAATAAAAGCATAATTTATTTCAAAAAAGGCAAACATTGACAAATAAATAAATGAACAAAAACAGTGCTTAAACGTAAAACTAAAGCTTAACTCTTGGTCAAGGCCCACCTTGCTAAAAGTACTCAAAGTCTGTCGTCCCAGGATTGGTCGGTTTTTTATCGATACGTCAGCGTGCTTCCCAAAGCATACTTTGTTAATTAATCTTGAGAAATTGCGACTCATTTCTACCCTTCATCGCACTGACTGAAAGGCGTCGCGACGCAAGTCTTTTGCCACGGTTTTGACCGTTCCACGACGGTGGCGCCACTGATATCGATTGCGGCGGATAGCTACTGCACCAGTTTAGGGGTAGTTCAAGGGTCGCTTTATAGTGTGTTTTATATTAACAGTTTCCATTAATATTTTTATGCAGATTTGTAGAAAATTAAATTATCTATCATTTGAGTACAAACACTATATATTTATCTTAAAATACAAACGAGATATCGCGAAAAAATACAATTTTCATAGCCAACTATAAAAAAGCGTTTTTTTTTATTCCTGACAAAGTTTTACTAGCAAATATGACATATTATACATCATTTGAAAGAAAATTTCTCTTTTACTGTAAAATACTGGTTCTATATCGATTGTTAGTCTATAGATATATCAAAAAAATTTGAGATTTTAACGCCGGTAGATTTAAAAGTTAGAAATTCTGGAACTGTCACTTTTTGTACCTTTAACATTTCCCGTGTAAGAATTTTTAATATTTTGTTATAATATTTTGCAATTACTATAATAAAAAAAATTAAAGGATAAAATATTATCTTAACATATAATAATCTTATTTTTAAGTTATTTTTAAGTATCAATAATTGTTAAGTTAAATTAAAATAATAACGGGCAATATTAATGGTAAAAATTACGTTTAATTATTGTTTTAACTATTATTTTACTATGTTCTCATATTTCTGTTTTATATTTACTATTTTGAATATTTAGTGCTTTAAGGGTCCTGTGGTACATAAACTTTTAAATTCAAATTTGGCTCTATTTTAACCAAGAAAAATTTAAATAATTAGGTACTAAAAATAATATTATAGTTTTAGTTATTTTATGTTTTTAAAACCTATTTAGTTCTAAAATTTCACTTCGTATTGGAACGTAGAAATGTTAGTGGGATTTGTTTATGTCTGAGATTCTTGCTTAAGTGGCCGAGAAGTTAAAAGATCGATTAGGAAATAGAATAAGGGCAGAAAAGTCTAGACTGTCATACGATACTCTGTTTAAAAGTTTGTGAAATTATATTATAATATAAATAAAATTATTGTGATTGCTATAATTAGGTATGTAAACTTTTATAAATTGTAATTTTTGCTAGTAATGATAAACAACTACCTTTTTAGGGTGTTCTTAATATATTTTTGCTTATAATTTTAAACATTATTACTTAATTCGCATCTTGGTCTATGTCGTTTATCATTGCTAGTTTATTGGGTCCTAATCATTTTTATATGTGTAAATGATGATTTTTGGTTATAAGATTTATTGTATACTATTTCATTGTTTGGGTTTAATATCTTGGGATCGCGCATACACTGAGTTCCAATATCAAGCTTTAAGTTGTTATATACACTGAATTACATTTATCTTAAATTTTAATATTTTTTATTGTCTTTATTTTGAGTTACACTGACCTTTGTGTAAATAAGTTTGTTTTGTTGTTTCCTTTGGAATAACTTTGTCTTTAACTGACGTGCATTTTATTGTTTATAGAACTCAGTGTATCATCTCGTTATTAAGGTAGTACTTATGTTAACTCTTTTCATTCGTACTCAGGTTAAAGCTTTTAACAATTATATTATTATTATAATATTGGTATTTAATACTTGGGTAAGGTTTATAAAATGATATTATTATTATTATTATTAACTTTGATATTACCATTAGGTAATATTGTGGTAAATAATCGATTTATACCATTATGCACCCGGGATCGGACCTACTTATTTTAAGGTTGCGTGTCCACATTAATACATGTGTATGTATAGTTATTTTAACGACTATTCAGGGAATAAGGGAATAAATTCTGCACTTGCCAATCAATTGGTTAACACCTTTTTCTATTGTTCCCCAGTTATTTGTAAAATATAATATTTTCAATATTAATTTAAACCAATCAGATAAAATCTTTACTATATTAAGCTCTTGTGCTTTAAAAGTACACTTTATTCATTTCTTTTTTATTCCCCTTCAAGCTTTTGATACCTGCCTCCCACGACCTAACCCAACAAAACAAAAGATGTTGCCGCGTGGTTGCCTTATTTTTTACTTCTTTTTTTTTCAAACCTTGACCCGTTCGTCAGGCGCTGACCCTTGGCAATGTTATTCAGGTCACGGGAAACTCAGCACTCCTTCGCGCTCAGGTGTGCCACAACAGCAACTCAACAAATGTAAACGATAGTCATGAAGATAACGAAAAACGTAATTGTTTGATACAATATTCAATTGTTTCACGCTGCAGCTACCGATAAAAGATAACATCATGTTTTAAGTGAAAAAAAAAACAATTTACATACCTTCGCTGTCACTAAACTTTTTTCGGCAGAAACTCCATCCACCTCGAGTCTGGCGCGCGAGGCGGCCGCCGCGCTATTTTCCTCGTAGGAAACATCACCGGCTTGAATTTTCTTCATTTCCTCGCAGTTTGCGCTTTCTTTTTCCGCGCACAGACCGTCTTTGATGACCTAAGAAAAAAAAGATTATATTTTTATCTAATGAGATTTTTTTATCTAGTGGGAAATTTTTATCTAATGACATTTTTTTATCCAATGGAAAACGTGTTTTTTTGTGGGTAATATGGTTATTTCAACATGTTTGTTTATTAATTTACTTTTGATTCCGCAAACACTGTGGTAGGGGTACTAATGAATGGATTTGACTGCAAGATATATGGCAACGTTTATTTAAATGCTAATGTAATAAATCGATATAGTAATTGAAAAATATTTGAATATTTGCTAAACACGCGTAGGTTTCACTGAATAATTTAGTTTTCATGATTAATTATCTACTTGACTATTTTAAAACTGAGAACTATAGAAAAATCGTTATTTATTTTTAAAACTATTTGTTACAGCTTAAATTTATTTTCAAGGTCGCCATAATTGTGTTTTATTGTTAATCGAAATTTGCATTTAAATTAATCGTAAAAATAAAACTATTTTTTTATGTTGCGATGCTATTTCCACAAGTTTTTTAGAGTAACTGTTAATTTGACGTTAATAATAATAATTAGAATTTTAAGTCCTAATTTTCTTATTATGTTTTGTGTGTTTGATGAATAATCTTTACATTATTTGACACTCAAAATTTTGTAATTGTTTTATTTTTATATTTGTCATTAATGCATTATAAAATGTTTAAACGTCACTTGGCAATCCCCCATGTTTATTTTAAAACCAAAATACATACACACACACATAATTTTTTGGAATTCGTGATTCATCAAGAAAAACATTCCAGAAACTACACTGTTATAAAACTCAGATTGGTTAACATGATTTTTTGTAGAAAACCAGGGTTTGCAATTATTTTAATGAAAAATATTTTACCGAAAGTTTTATAAAGGTAATATGCAATTTTGTAAGCATTCTGTTAGTTTCAAAGGTTACAGATTATTTTGTTAATGTTTAACAAATTATTTCTTTGAAAAAGTACACATGATTTCAGGCTGCAACTTATGTTTCTGCTTACTTTATTTCAATTCGTAACGTGTTCGTAACAACTGTCTAGTGCGTTTGTAATATATTATCAGAAATCTGTTATTATTGTTATTCGAATTCCTTATACCTATTGAAACTGAAATTAAGGGATACAGTGAAGTTAACGTTACTAAATACATTAGTAAGTGTTGTAGAAGTACTGATAATTATAATGTACCAAATTTCCCTATAATAGTTTAGGAAATTTCTTATTAAAATTAATTTAAGTTTCCACTTTTGTTACGGGCTCTACATAAAGGTTTGTAAAATAGGATCCTTTTTTAAAATTACAAGACTAATTAACTAATAATTAATTAAAATTAACAATTTACTGTGTACACTCAAACGCTATAGCGTTTAAAATCATGTCATCTTACAAAATTAAACAGTGTCTGAACAAAAACAAATAGAATTCAAGAATTCAAACCACATGTTTATGTTTGTTTTCCAAAGTGAGATTTTTGAAAAATTGAAAAAAAATCTTACCTTAGTTTTCTTGAAGTTGTTGGTCATCTTTTGCTCGAACTTGACTGTATCTACGATGTTGGTGGGCGACCCAATCTCGCTGGGAGTCGGGGTATCGTCTGGAAAGGTGACCAAAGGTTCATCGTTGTCCACCAGGTTCTCCAGAGAGTTCCTCAGTGACCTAAAGGTCTCGTTTTGGTGCAAAGGCGCGTAAGTGCTCTTCATGTCGTTCAAATTGTTTTGAAATTCCACCAAGTCGCTTTTCATATTTGTCGCCTTTACATCGGATGTAACCCTACGTTGGGTGCTTGTGGATGAGGATGTAGAACTTCTGTTCACTCTGGTCGTGGTGGTGGTCGTGCTTGTTTGGGAGTTCGTCTGCAACTGTTAGTAAAACAAATGTTGAGTTGGGTTTTTGAGTGAGAGTGAGGCATGGATTTATTTTTGTTTTAGCTTGGTTTGTAATGATTTATTTTTGTTTTTCGCGCGAATGTCTGTGGCGACTTGTCGCCAAGAAAAAGAAAACGTGGAATTATTACCAGAATATCGAGATTTGTATATTTAGAATCGGGAATTTTCATTATGCATTCAATGTCAAAATATAAATAGTTTTACTATGATAATCTATGTTATATACTGGGCCCACGTCACTCGTAGGCAACGCAACAACATACTACAAGCCACCCTTAAACTAGACCTTACAGACAGAAAAGTCGGGAGACCATGCTTCACATATCATGACACGTTAGCACAAAACTTCTCATAAATTAACAAGACCAGTTGGGAGCAACTAAGCAACAATAAAAAAATAAAAAAAAAAACAACTGACACACTTTACCAAGTGCAGGAACTATCTGACCAGGACACGGACAATGACAATAACGAACAAGACAAAGACCTCGACTAGGAAACTACACTCCTGCAGCGAAATAACAACTCCCCAACTCCAAATAGTAATCCCAAATGTTTGGAGTAATACTAATCGACTGGTCTAGGAGGATTCCGCGTCGTACTTAGTTTTAAGTCGGCGTAATTGTCCCCCAAAAACCAACACCCGTCCCTCCTCCTATACCCTACTGGGCGTATAGCATCGGCTCGGCGAACCCGAGAATGGCTATTAAAACTATTCGCATCTCGCTCTCGAGCCCCAAATAGGGGACAGTACGGAACGCAATGGATATTCGCACCCAGCAAACACGGGTGAAGCCGTGCAGTTGCTGGGGGCGAACAAAAATCGGCGTAAGTAAACACAAACCTGTACGGGGTCCGAGAGTGATGATGAAATGGGGCTGGTTATACGTCTCTTATACTCATACTCATCCTCATATGATAATCTATGTTATACCACTTTTTAGCTGTGTGCTTCAAAAGGACAAAATTGTATTTTTATTAAAATGTACCTATTCTTGTTATTTTATACCGTTTAAAATTTTGGGGTTTTCCTTATACTCAATAACACATTCTAGCTTATGTACCTATTTTGATATAAATTTTCCAGTCCACTTGTACACTTGTATTATCCCATTAATATAACACCATAATTGATAAGATAAGAGTTGATCCTAAATGAATACAACACTTGTTATAGCAAATTCGTAGTAAAATTGATTCTTGGAAGATAAGTCAGTTATTTATAGCTAAACTTAAAATAATTTAAATGAATCATTGTGGTTAGTAGTATTTATTTATTATTGGCACTATTAACAAACAATAGAAACAGTGATATAATAGGTAATCTGAAATGATATATAAATAACCACATTATAAAAATACCGTACGAGAATATATATATGAATGAATAATTAGTCCCAAGAAAGAAGTGTTAACATTATAAAAATAATCCCAAAAACAAAATGTTAAAATGTTAAAATTATCGTTCTGCGTACAAAAATTGCTTAATACCTGGACAAAATCCAATGTGCAAATGAGCCACACATGCCAGTTACATGTTATGTTGATACCACAATTACCCAACTAATATTTATTTTGCTAAATTATCTTAAACCACTTCTAAGAAACTCAATCATTACCTTTATTTTTTTAATCTACCGTACATTTATTGGCAACATCGCAAAGGTCAACCCAGCATAAATTATAAAAAAATAATATTCTGTAACGCGACATTTTTTAAACTTTTAATTGGAATTTAATGCGTTTATTGAACTCTTCGCTCCGCTATACAAGGTGAGATAAAAAAATAAAATAAAAATAAAGTATTTACACTTGTGCTATTATGGATGTATCTAGTTTTATAAACGCCATTTTAGATACGAGTTTAATTAAGCACGAGCGAGTGTTAAATAAAAACGAGTGTCTAGACAAGTTGCATATTATACTTTACAAACACAAAACAATTTAAAGCCAATTTTATTTTTTAAAAATTTGTCAACTGTCACCGGAATTTAACCTCACTTTTTCCCAATTTACAATAAAGCTAACTTCAGCCTGTGACTAAAACGCCATAAAGTCATGGTGTTTCAGTCTGGTTCGCAGCAAATAAAATGGTTAATTAAAAAATATTATTTTTGATTCTTAGGAAACAACATTAATTTTATTGTTAATTGTTGCTTGTTTATTATAGTCCTATACATGAAGTAGTAAATCAAAGTGAGCAATGGTTTTAAAACTTCTATACAAATAACCTGTCAGTTTGTCCTTGTAGATGCGTTTATTTATTTATTTATAGAGTGTGTAAGTATTAACAATAAAATATTGCAAAACAAATTAACAAAAAATTACTACTTACATTCTGCATCATTTTTGTTTTGTTATTTTTATTGTTAATCACAAAAACCAGCACTAAACAATTAATTAAACTAAACGTATCAATAGAAAACCTGGCTTAATATAATAATTGTGTTATATGTTTTATCGTGCGAGATAAGTTTGTAATTGCCAAATACAAGTCTATATAATTCCTTTTTTGGTCAATGGTCTTATCTATCTTGAATTTCTTATCAATTGCAAATAAATATTGTAAATATACTTGGTTTGGGTTTTAGCTTTTAACTTTTTTTTTACTTTTTAATAGCATAGTTTTTCTAGTTTTAAATTTAAGTCTTTTTATTTACCTGTGAAGTTGCATATGTCGGCAATAATTTGGTAGGCATCATTGAAGACAGTTCGTTTCCGTTTGCGTTTGTGTCCGTAGGAAAATCTGCGGCCATCTGCAAAGAAAAAATAAATAAAATTATTTATGTTTATTCTTATGATAATAAATTAAACGTGATATCGGTACCGATTTTGCCATCATTTCTTACTACTACTATTAAATGCAATAAAACTTAATGGTGTGCAGTAAATACTTTATTTTAAAGACTTTATTGCATAAAAAGGGACATTTTTATTTATTCTTGTGTTGTGCATTCCTTGCATATTTAATTGAAATTATTGTGATTATATTTGTTTTCTTGATACACGGTAGATACCTAATTGATTTTATCAAGGTGGTATTGAGATAAACAAAATCGTAGACAATAATTATTGAAATTCCTATTGTAAGTAATAATTATAATTGTATTGAATATACCTGAGCATCTTGTGACGTGATATAACCTCAAATATTGAAAAAACTGCTTTTCTTTAAATTACACTGCGCAACATTTTCGGAAAAAAATTAAGATGATGGGGTTCTGAAAGTATTTTCGGTTTCTACAATCAAAATCATGAATTATAGCGTTTACAGAATGTTTAGATTGATTCTGTTTTTTTTTTAATATCAATTGAAAGTTTTAGTAATTCTGGATCCCAAAATATCGTAAAATAATAATTATTAGTACATAATAAGGTTTTGTATATTGTTTTATAAAGTAATAACAATCAAATAAAGAAAAAAATAATTAAATAAAAAAATAATGAGAACAATAAAATGCAATTTTTTTTAAAAATTGAACATTTTTCTGGATTTAATATTTAGTAGAGCAATTTCTTAGTTATTTCGCTTCTACCATAATAATAATTATGGTAATTATTATTATTATATTAATTATTAAAAACATATTCTTTTTAACAAATAGAATAAATCAACATAAAAGATATAACAGATTTTATTTATAATTTTATGCCAAAATTTCCATTGCCATAGACCAACAAAAATCTGCCATCATCGAATCAAACCTCTTTCCTCTATAACGATTTTCCATTTCCATTATTGTATGATGCTCTTCTGAGCAAATGTACTTTTAGTGACATTTTTACACCCATTCTTAATTTTTTTAATTTTTTATTACTTCTTTTTAATTTATTGTTATGACAACAATTTCCTAATAGTTAATTGGTTTAAATTAATAAATAACGGTTTTTCGGGTTACAAAATTAATAAAACCTAAAATCGATATTAAAAAAAACCTGAATCAATCTATACATTCTGTAAACGCAAAAAGGCATTCTTTGGATAGGAGAAACGAAAAACAATTTCAGAACCCCATCTTTTTTTTTGCTGTTTCACTGTGTTAGAGGATGTAACATTAATTTGTAAAACCAACTATTAATTCAGAAAAAATAAAATTTAGATCTTTAATATAACTTATATTGCGCCATACTAAATTAGCATGAAAATAAATATATTTATTGTGATAGTAGGAAATATCAACATAGGTAACTACGCAGACCAATTAAATTTTAAAAATAGCCTGTGTACTTTACTTTATTTATATTGAAATTTAATTTGCGTTATTAATTTGCGATGTGGAATCAAAAAAACATATAAAGTTCTTTTTTTATGTGGACTGCGGCAACGTTGCAAATTTAGGGGTTTGGTTGGTAAATATGGAACCAAAATTGGTTGCATTTAATTAAGGTCTTCAGCAGAAGTACCATTTTTAAAATACTAAAAATACTAAATCAAACTGGCATAAGCTACCAACTTTTTTTATGTGAAACAATTCTCGATTCGACTCAAAATGTAGACTAACGACTTGATAATAAACAGGTACCGAACACAGAAAAGATCTTCTGGTGTTCCTAAGCGAGTTAACAACTTCCTTTAGGATTTTTGTGACAGGATTTCAGTCATAAACCCAATTCGTTTGTTTTTGGAATTACCCAATTACAACAAATACGCGCGTCCGTTCTCATATTTTTTTAACTCCGCAATTGACTTTAATGGCAGACTTGCACTAGGGCCGGATGTCCGGTTTTTACGGAAACGTATTTTCGGTCGTTAAGATTTTATCTTCTGGGATTCGGGCATTTAAATCACATTCTAAAATTAGCAAAATTGCAAATAAAACTGGGTCATATAGGGTCGACCCTTTTTTATTGTCATTAAACTTATTTCCTAATAGTATAAATATTAGTAACAATAATGAATCATCACTGTTTATGCAAATTTGTTCTAATTGCTAATTTTAGTTATCAACAAATAAAAATAAAAAACATAAATTTCCTAAGAGAGTTATGAATCACAAATTTTTGTATTGACTTCAAAAATAGTATACAGGGTGTTTCCCATTCGTGGTCCTTCATAAGTTTGTTGAGAACAAAAAAACATATCGATTTGAAATTTTAAAAGCGTTTAAGAATAAGTATTTTTTGATACAAATGTTATAATTCTTGGCGATACAATATTTACTTTTTGATTAAATATCTTTATGTAAGTTAAGCAATAATTGTTTCAAATATTGTATATTCTTTTTTTTAACTTTTGCTCGACTTTAAATAAAGGATATAATGACCATGTTGATTTTAAAAGGGAAAGAGTGAATTATCCTATCTCTTAGACTTAGACTGATAGATTTAATTTAATAGCGTAAATTTTCCAGGTTGTTATAAACAATTTGTTGACTAATTAAGTGTTTTGTAAACAATATTACTGGTAAAATAGCAGTCAGTGACTTATAAAAAACAGTATTTGCTAATTTTGAAAAAAACTCAACAAAGCTGTAGGATGTCATCCTGTTGGTAACTTCAGCCCGTGACTAAAATGCCATAAAGCAATAGCTTGTCACTGTGTATTTAAAATATCACTTGGTGTCATGAAAACATGTACTATAATGGGCGTTTTAAAGGTGGGAGTAGAAAAACAATTAAACTAACAATGGCAATTATTGCCAAAATAAATTGAATTAAAATAAAAACTTACACACATTTCTTTTTCAGCATTTAAAAATAATTTTTATAGCAAAGTGATTACATGTAATCATAGACATATTGTTACTGAAAAAAAAGGGAGTAAAATTTTTATTTATGATAAGATATGTACCTGCATATACATATATAATAACTATTTATCTTTTGATAAAACATGTGTGGTATTTCTGTTTTTGCATATTCATTAACAATAATGTTTAACATCAAATAAAAACTACAATCTTGCACAATATTATTTAACAAAATCAGAAATTAAAATAAAATGCGTTGGAGTAAAAAAATGTTAGTTATTCTTCATATGGCGTCTGCTATTAGGAATTACTCACAAAAATGTAATAAATAATTTTTTATCTCAAATCATAATATGTATAAAAAGTATAAAGTTACACTAATGGGCAAAATTAAAGAAATAGGCATTTCTCCATCTTGGGATTGGATTTAGTATGACGTCACTCGCCCTATCATTTTACACCCTTTCATTTTGAATAAATTACAATATTAATTGGAGTTGAGTTGATACTGCAACGTAATCAGCCATGCATTGTCCACCGTTGTCGAGCTGTATCAAACTTACACCAGCACCAAAAGTGTGTTCAAAAATTTAAGTGGAAGTAGGAGTAGACATTTTGACATTTTTCATAACATTTTATGCTTAGTATAGTCACCACATTCGCTTTAAAAACTGTTATCTATTTCTCTACATATGTTTGGGTTATCTTTTACATGCATAAATTGCGTATTATTTTCCGACCTTTAATGCAAACAGCCATTGTGTTACAAATTAAATTGATTGTGTCGCGCTCGAATTAGATTCTAATTAATGGCGTCATTAGTTGTGCAAACACTTTTGTGTTGTAGGCATTAATAGATTAATTTGATTTGAGGATTTAATGTTTTGTTCAAGGGAGTTTACCAATAATTATTAATATAATTTCTTAAAGCTATTTTTTAAAATCAGATTTTTTAACATGAGTTTGTAGTTTGTTAATTTTATTTGTAAAATTAAAACAGAATTTTTTTATAGAAAACCAGTTTTTTTTTTAACTTTGTAATTATTTTCAATCTGAAATTAGGGGATACAGTGAAGAGGGTTAAAGTTACGAAATACAACAGTAAGTATTGTAGTAGTACTCATAATTATATTGTACCAAATTTCTTCATAATTTGATGATTTCAGAATGGTGTGTTATAATCGTGTGTATGTTATTTTTGTATTCATTTATGTGTTAATTTTTTTGTTTAGGAAATTGATTAATAAAGCAACATGTTTATCAATTTTTTTTCATTTAAGTCCCCAATTTTAAACAAATATTTTTGTTAATGGGTTTACAAAAAGAATTGTAAAAATAAGGTTAAAAATTACAAGAATTATGGTTGATTATTGATATAGGATTTTGTTATTAAATCTACAAAATGTTTGTTATAATAACAAAATCTTTTTCAAATAGTTAACAGATTACAGTTGGTTGTAAACTTAACAAAGAGTTATGTGGACATAGATTAACATAAAATCTGGTAAATATTTGGTTAAAATTAGCAAATGTATCTATTAGATAATATCTAAGTTTTTGTTGTTTTTAAATATTACTGATCCAACAAAAAGTTCTTCCCTAAAAGGTTGAAATCTAAATATTAAAAGTTAATCTTCATTTTGACAGTTGTTTACAGTTTGATACAAATTGTCAGCAACAATCTAAACCTGTCATTTTAATCAAATTAAAAAAAAATTAAATCCTAAAATTATTCACTTTAAATGTTTTAAAGTAGACAAAGCCACATTTAAAATTAACGTTGATATTTTATTTATTTATTTGCGGTTTACCTATATTGCTTTGGTAAAAGGTTCTTAAAATGCGAAAATTAATTATTGATAACACCTGATGATTCACCGATAAATACGACCTTTGCAACATGTATATAAAAGCATTAAGGGGACATTTCCATCAAAAACACAACATAATATAAACATGGGCATATTATGAAGTTAACTATGCATATTTTTGAAACCTTTATCTCCAAAACTTATTGACGAATTTCAACAAAACAACATTATGTATAAATGAAAAGTTTTGGTTAC